TCAGACAGGTCGCAGTCGGTGTTAGTCGGGGGGCAGAGGTCGACCCCTGGGCCCCTGAAATATGGGGTTCCCCAGGGTTCGGTCCTGTCCCCCCTCCTGTTTAACATCTACATGAAGCCNTCCCACCATCTCACCCTCCTTACATTCCCTTCTCACTCCCTCTTAATTCCCCCCTCTTCTTGCCCAGCCTCTTTTCATGTCCCCAGGAGCTAGAGCAAATAATGGGAGCTCATTGCACCATGCAGCACTACTCGGGTCTCAAATGCAGAGTTGCTAATCTCCATCAAAGCATCCTAACCATGTGAGCCACTGCTCTCCATGGAATTGTGATATCTGGGTCATAATTATAGGAAAAAAACAGACCAAATAAAATCCCTAATCAATTCTACAGAGATTCTATTTATTTTCTGCTTAAAAATAAAATACCAATTAATACAATTCTTGTATGACCAGGAAGAAAGTTCTTCATTGTCAGATATGTACTGTTTAGTTTTCTATCTTAGAAGACATCAGTAAATTATTTCATAACTTACTGATTTTTATACATATACATGCATAGATATGCACACACAATTTTTCACACATGTATTTAAATGGAATGCTTTTCTAAAATATTTTTTTTACCAAAGAAGTTTCCTAATTTAAAAAAAAATATTTTCCAGATGTTAGCTCTTTATTAAAGCTGCATTCAAAGGTGTGGGTGTAATTATTTTTAAAAAATGTTTGAAATCCATTAATTTACTCTATGCAGAATCCTTTTAAAATTTAATCCCTTTTTAATCAAGTTCTCAGTAAATAATTGTTATGTGTATTTGATGGAGATTAAGGCTACTTTATTTATAATTATGTGACAAATTTTACACTCACAGGATTGTGATTAAAATCTATAAATTTCATAAGATGGCATATGCAATTAAAACATCATAGACTTTATTCAGTGAGTTGAAGTATTTGGAAACAAGATTTACAGACAAAGAGGTTTGAAGTTATTTTTAAGTATTCTTTTTCTTGATTTCTACTATTAGAAGTAACGACTGAGCTATTTGCATGACTTGGGCTTATGTACAAATATATAACCCTCAATTCATTACTTATCCCTATTTTTCTTTGTTTCAGTTATGATCCTTCCCAGCATTAATAAGCAACATATAAAATATAGATGAGCTGGTAAACTTTATATTTGGAATAGCAGAAGGAGAAAAATAACAAAGCATTCTGCCAAATTTGTCTCAAACCATACTGCAGAATACCATTTTGTCATTCATTGTTTCATTTTATAAATCAAATTTCTGCCCATGTCTGAAGTAATATATAAGTAATCAAAATAAGGTTTGAGGAAAACAACTAAAATTATGATCTAATGACTCTTGTTACTCTCTAGGGACTAAGATGTACCATATTTCTATTTCTGCTCCTTTCTCTAAACTATTTAAAATATTTATATGCCTACAGTTTTACTGCATTATTTTATTTCCAAAAAAATCCCAAACTAACTTTAAAACCATTAAGAAGATATTGAATTTATTAATTAAATTATAAAGCCCAAACTCTGAAAACAAATACATGGGGATAAATCTACACAGATAGCTTCTCTGTAAGGTTTTCCCCAAAAAAGAGAGAGAGAGGGAGGGAGAGAGAGGGGGGAGGGAGGGAGAGAGAGGGNAAAAAAAAAAAAGAAATTGTCCAAAACATCTGGAGGGCAAGTTTTATTTTATTCACAAATACTGTGATATAAAGTTAATTTGCATAGTAGGAATACATTCAGTTCCTTGATTTTTATTTTTATTTTTTGTATTGTGGATATATTCTAAAAATAAGTGCAATGCCTGTAAGCAAATGACAGAGATATGAGGTAAAGCACTGAGAATGTTATATTTTTTTCTGATTTGTCATAAGCAGAATGAAATGGCATGTACGCTTCTATTTAAGTGTATTATATTTATTTAAAATGAGAAAGAAAATCCATAAATATTTTATGAAAGGTTATATGAGGAATTTCTGTCAAAATCACCAGCCAAATACCAGCCATGAAAAAGAATAATTCTGGTACTCTAAAAATTAACAAATTGCAAGAAAACTGCATGTTGTGTTCTCAGTTGCTACTTTGTAATTTTTGCACTTATTTTCTTACAAGCTCATTTTCAGTTATATCCACAAATTTGTTTGAGCTACTTTAGTGTAGCAATTAGTGTGAAATGAATTATTGTATATTTAAAAAGTATGGCCCCTTTTTATAATACATTATAAAGTATTCTTAAATGATAGGATAGGATAGGATAGGATAGGATAGGATAGGACAGGACAGGACAGGACAGGACAAGATAGACCTAAAGGACAACAGAGTCACACAGGAAACTTTTAAATAAACAGAGGTTTTTTTTAAAAAAAAAAAGCTTCAATTCTTTTTCCTGTGCAAAATATTATTATTTTTCACTCCTTTTGAATCAGTTTTTCCTAAATGTAATGATATTGCTTCAGAAATGGGAGGTCACAGGAACCTTCCAACTTCTTATAGCAGAATTTTTACTTCTTCATTACTTTCTGTGACACCTCATCAGTGCCGAATTAAGAGTTTTTGCCACTCAACATTCAATCTTTAAATTTCTCCTTGTTCCTTCCTCCAGGCAAATCCTGTGATAACATATTTACAAATCTTCCTCTGAGTTAAAACATTTTAAATGGCTGTACAGTAGGCTATCCTTGACCACAAATTCTCCATAATTCTGTAGATGTTTGCAATTATATGATGTGAAAATACTGATGTTATTAGACTTTGAAGAGAAAACATTTTAGGAATGTAAAGAACTGTTTACTATGTTTTTCTTTTCGCCTTAAAGCATACTGATTTTTCTATTTGTGATCCATTATGTTTTTATGGTCAACCACTACAGTCCCAAAGGAAGAAAAACTCTTAAGAAAGTCTGAGGAAAAATGACTAACTAGATTAAACATTTTAGATATAAATGCTAGGGCTAAGTTAATGTAGGAATTGGTTAATTTTTAAAACATTTATTCTATCATAGTATTACCTCCAATTACCTCCCTACAACCAATTAGATCCCACAGATTAGGCCTCCTCCGAATACCATCTGCTAGCCAATGTCGACTGTCGACCCCTCGGGGGAGNTCCCCAACAATCTGGGTCCTCATTTTACCGATCTTGAAAGGATGGAAGGCTGAGTCAATCTTGAGCCTAGTGAGATTTGAATGCCGAATTGCAGCTAGCAGTCAGCTGAAGTAGTCTGCAGTACTGCACTCTAATGGTTATAACCCACTTCTTTCAGTGCCATTGAAAATTCAAACAGTCATTAAATGACCTGTTGTAAGTTGGGAACTACATGTAGGTATGGTGGTGAAATGTTTACCATATGTGGGCTGTAGAAATTCAGATAACTACTACAAGAGGAACAACTCTTGATCATATAGATTTCTACCCAAAAAATAATGCAATGGGTATAAAGATTATGTGGGAAATGTTACTTATAATCTGTGAAAGACATTTGAGCAAATTGATTGTTTTATCCTTCCTTATTTTGATATGAACATGATTATTTCGGAATGATAAAAAAAAGCTATTTTTGCTGTTGGTAGTGCTTTATAGCATATTCTCTGTAAATTAAGTATCTATAAATTTAAATCCTGTTTAATGTAATTAGTGATAATAAATAACTATTACCTCAATAATGAAATTTGAATATGAGAAAATAAGACAGGGCTTGTTTCATGTTTTCTACCATATCCTTTAGAAAATAAAAAACAATTGCTTGGTCTCTTTATATTGCAAGGAATTTATTTTTGTAAACGTATATAGTTATCTGAAATAACAAGAAAGATCATGCATTGTAGTATTTTTTATTTAAATTACTGCTATTCACTATTAATTTATGCAGTGACATACAGTAATTGCTCAAAACCATAAAGTAGCTTTATCCATGAGGACGTTCCATCATATTTATAAAGAAATAGCAAGATGTTATGTCAACTAGTTATTTAAAGATAATGGAAACAAAGTATAGCTATTAGAAGAAATCATAATGTCATATTGAAAGCCTTTAAAAATCTATATGCTCTTAAAACTCTCAGGCCTCTTTGTCTGTAACCTTTAATTGGGTGAAATGGTACATCATAGGGCAACAATTTTTGAACCAATGTCAAATGAGCTAAGTCAGGGGTCACCAATCCCTGGTCTATGGACTGGCACAGGTCCATGGCATAACAAGTAACCATGCCACACAAACAAGTAAAGCCCCATCCATGGGATGCAGGCAACATCCGAAGCTACGCCCCCTCCAGTCCGTGGAAAAATCTCTCTCCATGGAACCAGTTCCTGGTGCCCAAAAGTTTGGAGGCCACTGAGCTAAATTACAGAATATGTCCAAAACCTGGGACTCATGACTCCTGTGGGATTGAAATTTTCACAAATTTGTGGCCACTCTGCTGCCACATCAGCATTGACAGTGGCAGCATTGAGAGTTCAGTATATCAGGGTCACCCTATCTTTCTGAAAGCTGGGTAGATCAGCCTGTTTGGTCTCTGGAGCTGGGTAGACCAGCCTGTCTGGTCTATCTCTAGACCAGTCCCACTCTAACTTTGAAGGCCAGGTTTTGCCGTCAGCCACCAGAGAGCAGTGAACAATGCTTCAGCTGGCAAGAAGTCACACCCATAACCCATGGTATTTTGCTTATGTTTATTTTGTTTCTTTGTTTAAGTAAGTAAATATCTCTGAACTGCTGACCCAATGGGTCACGGGCTGTCTAGTAGATCTTTCTTGTTGGCAAAATAAACATATAATGTTTATTTTATAGGTTTTTACCCACTTTATTCTTCCCTCTACTTAGTCACCTTCAAATAAATTATGTCCTTTATAATAACAAACCCACCTAATATAGTCTTTAGCTTTCTTTTTGGGTGTACAGTAATGTTGTGTAATGTGCCTACAGCATAGAATATTCGTGCAAATCAGTATTACTTGAACTTATCTTCTTCGTTTCTTCAACCAGATGGCTGCCCTGATTTGTGCAATGGCAATGGGAGATGCACACTCGGTCAGAACAGCTGGCAGTGTGTCTGCCAGACCGGCTGGAGAGGGCCTGGATGCAATGTTGCTATGGAAACCTCCTGTGCTGATAACAAGGATAATGAGGGAGGTGAGCAAAAGTCTTCCAATTCCCAGCCTTGAAAGAACAGAGGGTTATGTGCAGTTTCATCATGAGTCATTTTACAAGTGAAAGACCCCCTCTCCTACTATTGTCAAGTGTTGTTGTTACATTTCCATTGAAGCAAATGAGATGGATAAAGTAGTACCCTTGTGAGCAAAATAATGTGACCTGAAAGACTTATTTTAAATATAGGGCTTGATTCATTTCTGGCAAAACTCAGATTTGGAGGCTAAAATTCTCACTAGGCATTTGTGTGGTTTAGAATTTCAAGTCTCAGTGCTCCTTCAGATATACCCTCTGTGTGACTTACACTTGCAAAAATACCAGCATACATTGTAGATTATTCAAGCAAAGGCACAGATGATTAAGCAGGAAACTTTCCAAGGTATTGTTAACTGCCAGCTATGGGCAAATACAAGAGAATTCTGGACAAAGGTAATACTTGTATTTTATCAACTTCAATTCACAAAGCAGAAAGTGCTAAATGGAACAGAATAAATGGAATTCATTTTACTGGCTGTGATACAAGAATTTATTCTTGTTTTTTTTTTTAAATTAAATACATGTTAATTAGTAAAACAGAGTTCTGTCTCAGTATTATGTTGTCCTATAGAAGACACTATACGCTGGAAGAAATTTAGCCAGAGATGTTGAAAATGATTTTAATATAAAGTGACTTCAAGTGACTCTGACTTTAAATGCTACAGCTATTTGTTTTAACACATTCACCAGTCACACATTTTATGTATTACATTTTTTCAATCTATATGTGTTTGTGTGTCTGTGTGTTTTCCTTCCACATGCATTTTTATCCGTCACACACAATCAGTTTCCAAGGATTTAGCTCCAGATATATTGAATAATATTTGAAGAACTCATTTTTATTAATAGTTTAACATTCAACCAACAACCTTTCTCGACATTTAAAGCTTATTGTCACAGGTTGTTTACCTGAGTGTTTCTTGCATTCTTTGACCTGTTGACCCTAGGGTTTTCATATGAGGGTTTAGCATTAGAGTGAAAATAGAACCAAATGATTGGATTGTCATAATGCCAACAGCACTGGAAAACTGAAGTGCCTTTTTTCCTAATCAGCTGTAATATAGTTGAACTTTCTGCAAACTATTGTGGGGTGAACTGGAAGTGAGTTGTTTTGTTTTTGAGATTCGTTGAGAAGTATACAAGTAAATAATATTTTTGTATGTTGTTTTAGAGAAAGCTAAATAACCTGAATAATAAAATTCTTTGCAAAACATGGAGTTGCTATGTGCAGTAAAAACAGTAGATAACGAAAGCAAACAGAACATCTAATAAATTTTGCAAAATTAAGTAAAAATCTTTGCAAGTAGTTCAACAGGGTGCAAGAGAGAGATCAGCAATGTTTTATTCCCACATCCTGTATTTGTGGATAAATGTGTAAATAATATTTTTATGATATAAAAGGTGCATTAGTTGAAGACAACAATATAAGTGTATTTCAGTATGCAGATTGTACTAATACGTTATATTTTCTATTGAGGATCTGCTTGACAAGGTGGCAATATATAGGCAACCTTAGTGGATCACACACATACCAAAACAATTAAACAAGAACAGATGTTTTTACTATTACAGGGAAATTTCACAGCTGTGTAGTAGACAGGAAAGCTTTAAAAATAGCCAATAAAATATAGATGAAGTTGTTAAGACTGGTGCTTAAATGAAAGGAAACTTTTAATAAACCTTTTATTTAGGATTTATTAGTACCAAAATGAGTTTAATTGTGGGGAAAAGTTTATTATGTGTATGCAAGATTTATTATGATGAGGGGGTTAGTAAATATTCTTAGGAAGAAGAAGCAAAGAACACCAAGAATGCAAGTAAGCCAAAACTATATACTCCTAGGCATGGAAGTCATTGCAAATCCCCAGAAAAAGCAACTAGTAGCTATATCAGACAGAAACAAATTGTCGTATTTTTCAGAGTATAAGACGCACCTTTTTCCCTCAAAAAAGAGGCTGAAAATCTGGGTGCGTCTTATACACTGAATACAGCATTTTTTGCCTNATAACAGATTTTGCTCTCCTGCAATAATTATTTGGACTGGCTTTGCTTTTATAGAATGATGAATCCTGTGATTTGATATTTCGTCAGGCTTGTGGCATTTAAGATAATGCAAGTATTTCAGAGCACAAAAGCAAATCATGTAATTTAGCTTGCCTCATCAAGCTCTGCCACAGCAGGAGTTTCTAATTCAGCTCAGACAAAAGATTTATAAGGTTCTAAGTACAAATACCCACAATACCTCAGGAGGGGGGAAAAAGGCTCCCCTGAGCAAACACAATGGACCTGATGCTTGAAGTCATTTTGAAAATTGCTACCATAATAAACAATTGAAATATGTTATTGATAGTTTTAAATATATAAAAATATGGGTAGCATATGCAGCAAATCTGGTTCATACTGGGAATCACTAAATCATGAACTTGTTTTTCTAACTTGGGGAAAATATTCTGCACAATTAGAAATAATTGGTTTTGCATTTTCAATCTTCACAAGTTTGTTACCAACATTAATTTTATTGATTCTGGCAATGACATTTTGAGTGAAAAACTGCAATCAGAATTTATCAAAATTGGCCTAGGAGATAACCATAGACCCATAGGCAAGCAGTGATGTTTACAATTTTTTCACAGTCAAAGGACCAATGTTCTGAATTAAATGTAGGTTTTTAAACAAACAAAGCAGATGTTCCTTTCCTACACTGACATATAGAGAAAATAAGCCTGTCCTTTTTCAGTTCTTGTGCCTCTCCAAACTTGGTAAACCATCCAAAAGGCTTATAAATGTATGTGCCTGAGATTAAACGAGGATTAAGTGTGTACATTTAGGATACTTTCTATATAGATAATATGCATACATGGATGTTGTAATATACTTAATGTATATTACATTTAATGATAAATGTTCCTGTGTATTTGGTTTTTTTTTTTAAATTTTCCTTTGCTAAACTCTGCCTATAAAGAAAATGGAATGAAACATATGAGTGAATGAAGAACATGAGTGATTGAATGTATGTGAAATACACCAGAAGTCAACTGATCTTCCCTGCCTCATTCTTAAGCAGTAGCTTTGATTGCCTGTTCAACAGAGCATTTCTTTGACAGGCAGCTCCAAGTGACAGATGCTGCTCCCTTTGGACTGAAAGTTTATGTCAATCATCAATACTAGTGATGCTCATATCTTTGCTGTATATTCCCTGAAATGAGAAGGCATGGAAGAATCATTCTTGATTTGCCTGTACTGTAACATGTCATCTCCATCACCAGCAACTCATCTCTTAGTTGTTAGTAACTGAAGCTTTATTAGTTTGTAATTAATTTCTGCTTGGCATTGTTAGTTTAATCTATCAAAACTAAAGAAGGAATTCTATATATTTCTGGATCTCTTGCTACATAAGCAGTATTATTTCAGAAAGCCTATTTTAGAACCAGTGTAGAATTGCCATTTATAAGAGGGACAATTTAAAATATATTAATAAACAATATTCATTTCAATATTTTGGTACTGTCAAACATGTATATGCAGGAATTGTACAAGAACATAATCAAAATGCTATATATTATAAATGCAGCTAATAGTAACTAGGCTAAGGTGACCAGATTTTAACATTGGTAAAGAGGGACACCATTGACGGGGGGGGGGGGGTTCTTGATTTAAAATTTTTTTTTAAATCGGGACTTTTCTAAAACGCCGCGGGCCGCAGGCCAAATTGTTCAAAAGCGGGACTGTCCCGCCAAAAGCTGGACGTCTGGTCACCTTAATTTAGATGCCTCTCAAAGGCAAAGCTCAGGGGCTGAATTCTACAGGGGGAAGAGTAAAGGGGGGATTTGAGGGGCAGCCCAAAGCACCGTCTGTTTAAATTTGCATCAGGCCGGCAGTAACATTTTCATAGACCATGA